GTTATTTCCAAGCATGCAAATTTTACTATGCACTTTACCGTAATTAATATAAAATAAACAGTAAAATGTATTTTAAAGTAGAATGAAATTTCACTGGATATTTTTGCCTGTTTTTAACACTCACTATTCAATACCAAATTTGGAACTGCACATGAGCTATTAAGGAATCCTAATAAACCTGACAATCTGGAACATATTGGGAGGAATTGGCCACCAGTTCATTTAATCCTTCTTGATGAAACTTAGAAACAAAAGTTCACATCAGTTTTCAGATAGCTATAGGTGAAGAACAACTGTGCAATAGAAAATGGATTTTCTAGGTCAAATGTGATTAAGATAATAAGGTAAAGCTAAGGAATTTGCTATGACCAAATAATACAACATAGCTACCTCTATAAACATAGAAAACATGATTTGAGAACAAATTGATATCTCAGTGTTCAAGCATCTGTTTAATATGTGGATTCCCTAATATGGACTTTTTAAGATGACAGATTCAATGACTTACTGTGTATACGGGTGAATGGATAAAAAATTATATTCAGATGCTGAAGATATTTAACCCCAGTTCATAGGCTGGAATCCAAGTAACTGGCCAGTTTGTCAGTTATTTATCATCTCTGAAACTGAAGTCAGTAGGCAAAATCACTTGAAAATATTGAAATGATTCCCCCTGAAACAGGTGTAATATTTCTTACTGATACATGGGTATTCTGAAGCTTAACATTTTCAACATGCTTTGAGTATTTAGAAACAAAAGCTGTGGGTGAAAACAACAGTCCGAAACTTCTGTTGACTTAATCTGATATAGAAGTTCCTTTTATTTGCATGAATATTCTGGTGCTTTACTTTTGGACAGGTTATAGGATTCCTGAGGCAAACACCTAAAAGAGGGATTTGGTCTGTCCACAAGGAGATAGATAGGGGACACGGGCAGGTGGACTGCAGCTGCTATTCTGATGTTTGTAGGTGACAGGACAAGAAGTGTAGTCATGGCCAGTGCTCAACTGCACGAGCAGTTACACACACATGAACTCCTAAAGCAGGAGCAGCTAGAGAAGGCTCTGTTAGTGCTCCATGAGGCTTCGCAGAAATGTCAACTCTCGTTTTGTGTCTCAAGCACCAAGTTATTTACCGGCTGAACTGATGTATACTTCCTCTACAGCTGGGAGCCATAGCCTTATGATATTCATAAATATACTCACCACACATTTCTTCTTGTGAAGCAGTTTCATCCTAGAGACAGATTTTTCCTAAGCGTAGAGCAATAAACCAGCTCTGTATCCTCACTAGAGCCATTTTACCAATTATATAATTAAATTCTTTCAAGATTATTATTTCAATTTGAGTGACATAAAAGTGCATTGTTCATCTATTTTAAAGCTGTGGTATATAAAATTGAACGCAACTTGAATTTCCTGTCCACAGCTGCAAAAATCAAGCAATTATGTAATGCTTTTATCTTCTATTAGCAGGAAATACTAAATTCACCTTGTATAAAATAACTGATGTCGGTGGTAAAATGCCTGTTGTCTTGCAGATTTCCCTTTGACATAACTGTAGCATTTTAATACTCTGTTTTATAAATTTCTATACCTGTTCTTTAAAAATTATAGGGCACCTGAAATGCAATGTAGAATGCTAGTGGTGTTGAATGTGGTATCTCTTAAAGAAGTAATTCACTCAGGAAAACAGCACTCACGCTCTAGCTGGAATCAAATTACCTAGACTAAATGAAAACCTCTTTGCTCTTGTAATACTCAGAAATATTTTTAATACGTGGGAAGACTTTTTTTTAATCTTCTCCTTTATCTTAATATATTTTGTGACAAACAAGATTAAATTAGGAAGAACTAAATGAAAGGCCCTTGATTGAAATGCTAAGATAAACATTATTTACCCTCATTGGTTGCCTCCAGTAGGACTGCTTAATGCAGTACAAGCTGGGAAGAGCAGTTAGTGTCTACTGCCTTACTCTAGGTCTTAAGAACTCTGACTTTAGTAGACATGTTAGCAATGCTGTCAGGAGTATAAAGTGATACTATTCCCCTGGGCAGAAAAGAGAGTGGGGATCCTGGACAGTAACCACAAACTCCTAAGAATATTGCTCTTGGGATGAGACAGAATGCTGTATATATTGGGTTGAACAAGATATACAGGAAGAAGAAAAGAAAAATAAATTTCTAAAAGAAAATGCAGATTAATTTAGCTATTGTCTGAGCAAATGAGGCCATCATGTGGCAAATTAAAGACATGGCCACAGAGGGAAAAATCATTGATTAACAGTATTGGTGATAATGAAGAAAATGCACGTCTTCCATCATGACCTCAAAGGAAATGGGTGTGAAAGTTCAGACACAGAAGTTCCTCCTAGATTTTTGTTTTTTTCATGGAGAATTCTAGAGAAATTTTGAAGAATGTTTTAGAAATTCTTTATCAATGAAAGACACGTAGTTAAAATGCACATACATTTTTTCTCTTTAAAGTCTCATAGGTAATAATGGAGGAATGAGAGTTAAAAGGAATAACCATGTCTTCAAAGGAAAGATTTCAAATGCCTTCAATTGAGAGCCAAGTGAGCAATTAAGTTTCTGATAATTTATCTAGCTCTAGCTAAAACTAGATTGTACTCTTAAGCCAAACCTTGAAATATTAGCAACCCAAACTGTAATTCTCAACTCTAGCATACATGAAGAGTAACATCTGAGTTGTTTCTGATTTAGCAGATATGTAAATAACTCTCATCTTTAATTATTCATCTTCTTTTACATTGAAGAATAGACAGATACATGGTGATAAATCTTCTGTGGAGCTACCCAACAGAAAAATCTTAGGAAATTCACTTTGTGGTTGGAGAAACATCTCATAATTCCATAGTTCCTTCTTCTACCCATCCCTTGGAATGTATGCATAAATTTTGTTTGTTTGTTTTTTGAACAACATGGAAATCACATATGGGCTTATATCACTATGAAATATGTACATGTCAAGGAATGACTGGAGAGTTTGTACAACAAACAAGCACATTGATTAATACGAAATGAAAGCTGAATAAAATGTGGTATATATACCAGTGAAGTTAAGAAGAAATTAATATCGGGGAAAGCCAGAAGTGCCTAGAAAGAAAAAAAGTGTGAAGCTAATGTTAACGAGCTTGTCAGAACCCCAGCGGTAAATAGGAGTAGATAATGCTAGTCACCTTACAACTATAGCAGCTTAATCCTTTCCAAGTTCTGCCCTGACTCTTTTTGTATATCACTGTAAACAAAGCTGACCAATTAAGGACACTTGAAAAGTAGGAGGGAACTAGGAGTTACTGTGCGAGATGGATAACGCGTTCCTTCTCCTTCAACATATTCCTTCATTTTAACATCTTACATATCCTGAACTTAATTTTTTTCTTAGATTCCACATTAATGAAATTGGGGAAACAATCCAATCATTACTAATCCAAACATTAGAAATTGTACAATAAAAAAATGTAAAAGCCTAGTTTTAAAAATAAAAGACTAAAAGCCAGACTTTAGTAAAAAAAAAAAATCAACCAAAACATGTTCTCACTTGAATCTCCAGACTATAACCTTATTGTATAAAGTAATACATAAATAGGAAACAAACAAATTTGCTAGTCACATTGGTTTTCCATCTAATACAGGAACAGAAAAAAACAGGTAAGTGATTCACGAGGAATACAATGAGACTGCATCAATGAACATTCTGGAGAGCATTATTAGTACCTTGATGAGCCTAACTGCCTACCAGTTAGGCTGTGTGTGTATACATTTCTACATGTAGGTAAGACAGATCATATGTATCTCAGGCAATCAGAAATTGCTGTGATGGAAGTGTGGAAAACTGATTAATCAGGCCAGTTTTAAACTTAAAAACAAAACTTTACTGCATAGATATTCATTAACAATACACATTGCTAATGGTTAGTTCTTAATAATTATTAATCACTATTATTACATATTTAAAGCAGTTGGTCCTCAACAGTCATCTTAAATTAGCAAGTAATCTACAACACCACAGACCTGATGCCATGTAATTAGCACGGATGGTTACAGTCCTTGAGAGTCTTAGTCACCAGGGTGATCAGGTTCAAGAGTTCTTCAATGAAGAAAGCTAACACTGAAAGAGCGGCCATCCTT